ACATCGAGTTTCAAAAAAAAATTATCTCCTGCCCGAAGCGCGCTCCGCCCGAGTCGCGCTCCGGGCTCTCACCTCGCCGAGCCGCCCTAGCGCCCCCCCCCCCTACGCCCTAGCGGCCCCTTCCCCTAGCGGCCCCGCCGCCCTTCGTTTCGGCCCCGCCGCCCTTTAGTGCGGCCCCGCCGCCCGTCACAGCGGCCCCGTCGCCCCGCATCGCAGCCCCGCCGCCCGTCTCCGCGGCCTCGCCGCCCGTCGCTGCGGCCCCGCCCCTACTCAGCGGCCCCGCCGCCCTTCTCCTCAGCGGCCCCGCCGCCCTACTCAGCGGCCCCGCCGCCCTTCTCCTCAGCGGCCCCGCCGCCCTACTCAGCGGCCCCGCCGCCCTACTCAGCGGCCCCGCCGCCCTTCTCCGCGGCCCCGCCGCCCTTCTCCTCAGCGGCCCCGCCGCCCTACTCAGCGGCCCCGCCACCCTTCTCCTCAGCGGCCCCGCCGCCCTACTCAGCGGCCCCGCCGCCCTACTCAGCGGCCCCGCCGCCCTTCTCCTCAGCGGCCCCGCCGCCCTACTCAGCGGCCCCGCCGCCCTTCTCCTCAGCGGCCCCGCCGCCCTACTCAGCGGCCCCGCCGCCCTACTCAGCGGCCCCGCTGCCCTTCTCCGCGTCCCCGCCACCCTTCTCCTCAGCGGCCCTGCCGCCCTACTCAGCGGCCCCGCCGCCCTTCTCCTCAGCGGCCCCGCCGCCCTACTCAGCGGCCCCGCCGCCCTACTCAGCGGCCCCGCCGCCCTTCTCCTCAGCGGCCCCGCCGCCCTACTCAGCGGCCCCGCCGCCCTTCTCCTCAGCGGCCCCGCCGCCCTTCTCCTCAGCGGCCCCGCCGCCCTACTCAGCGGCCCCGCCGCCCTTCTCCTCAGCGGCCCCGCCGCCCTTCTCCTCAGCGGCCCCGCCGCCCTACTCAGCGGCCCCGCCGCCCTTCTCCTCAGCGGCCCCGCCGCCTTGCTCAGCGGCCCCGCCGCCCTACTCAGCGGCCCCGCCGCCCTTCCGCAGCGGCCTCGCCGCCCTTCTCAGCGGCCCAGCCGCCCCTCGCACCAGCGGCCCTGCCGCCCTACACCGCCCGCGCCGCCCGAGCCGCCCGAACCGCCCGAGCCTCCCGAGCCGCCCGACCTGCCCGAGCTGCCCGAGCCGCCCGAGCCGCCCGACTCTCCTGAGCCGCCCGAGCCGCCCGACCAGCCCGAGCCGCCCGAGCCGCCCGAGCCGCCCGAGCCACCCGAGCCGCCTGAGCCGCCCGAGCCGCCTGAGGAGCCGAGCCGCTGGTGCCACGGAGCCGCAGTTGCTGCAGTGCCGTCCGAGCAGCCGTGTTGCCGTGCTGCTGTACCACTGAGCTGCCCGACCCGCCCTGCCTGGTGAGAGCAGCGCTTCTGTCACTGCACTGCCCCTGTCCTACAGTTGGTACTGCTAGTCCACTGTTGTCATGGCTACCCCCAGTGTTCTCGCTTTTGACGCTGAGGGTCGAGCCATTGACTTTGAGGTTTGGGTGGATGGCCTGCAGCTTTTCCTACAGTGCGATAGGGCAGACGGTCTTTCCCTCTTTGACCTCACCTCTGGTGCTTCCCCTGCCCCTGCTGCCGATGCCGACGCCACTGTTCGCTCCCAGTGGGCCACTCGCGATGCTGCTGCACGTCTTGCTGTGCGTCGCTACCTGTCTACCACTGAGCGCGCGCACTTTAGCCAGTACAAGAGTGCTCAGACCTTGTACGACGCTGTCGTTGCACGCTACTCCTCCCCTGCCACTGCTGCACTGAGCCGCCTCATGCTACCGTACCTCTTACCTGACCTTGTATACCCTCTTAGCATTCTTGCACGCTATGTTGCTCCTAGGAGACACCGACCAGAGCACATGGCTGCAGCGAAAAGGGTGTTGCGCTACTTGTGCAGTACGTCGAGCATGGGGCTAGTGCTTGGAGGGCGGAGTCCAGTGGTCCTTACTGGGCACGCGGACGCTTCTTGGGCAGACGACCAGGCTACGCAGCGGTCGTCACAGGGTTACACCTTTAGCCTTGGTTCCGGCTCTTTTTCGTGGCGGGCTACTCGCTCGTCTTCTGTTCTCGGCTCCAGTTGTGAGGCTGAGATCTACGCCGGGGCCATGGCTGCACAGGAGCTTCGCTGGCTTACCTACCTGCTGACTGACCTCGGAGAGCCGCCTCGTTCTCCTCCGGTGCTGTACGTAGACAACAAGGCCATGCTAGCCTTGTGTCGGGAGCAGCGCCTGGAGCACAGAACGAAGCACATTGCTCTCCGCTACTTTCTTGCTCGTAAGTTGCAGCAGCGTGGTCAGTTGCGACTTGCGTACGTGGCCTCTGAGGCCAACACTGCTGATGTTTTCACCAAGGCACTTCCGCCTTGTGATCATCAGCACTTCTGCACTCAGCTGGGTCTTGTGCCTGTCTTGCCTCACTTGCTCACCCCTTGGCCTTGCTTGTACTCTTACATATATATATACCTGCTCTTGCTTGTTTAGCCTTATATATATATGTGTACTCCTGCATGTGAACTGGCCTTATGGCCTTGACCTTGTGCTCGGACTGTGTGGTGACGTTGTGATCCACCCTGAGCTTTGTCTGCTTTGCTTGACTGGTCTTGTGACCCCTTGTTCTCCCCCACTTTGCATATGGGGGTGTGTCAAATTATAATATTGTGTAGGCTATAGTGGGGTAGCCCATATGGGGTACACATTTCTAGGGTTGCATATTTGTATCACTTCCATTCCTTAGTCATTCATTCTCGTTCTACTTTCCTCATCACCCACCAAGGAAGGATTGTACCTTCGCGAACTCTCGGAGGAAGCGAAGCTGGCTCAGTTACCCAGCTTCACTCTGTTCTGCGAGAACCAGTCGACAATTCGCATAGCCAACAAAAACGGATTTGCGAACAGGACGAAGCATATCGCCCTACGATATTTCTTCGTGAAAGACGAGATCGAGAAGGGGAGACTCGAATTATCCTACTGCCCCACGACCGAGATGGCAGCTGATTACTTGACCAAGAAGCTCGGAAAGCGGAAGTTCGAGTACTGCATGCTGCTGACTGGACAGAGCCACGTCACCAGCAGCGACACTCCAGAAGCGAAGGGGAGTGTTGGAAACAAGTAACTTACCGGTAAGCGCCTCTGTCGTGTCGAAACACCAAGTCAAAAGCAAAGCGAAACATATCGAAGCATCAGCGAGTCAACCCTCGGAGGTTGAGCAACTGCTGAAGGTTACGCGAAAGTCAAAGGTCAGCGACCTTTGACCTGACAAAGTACAGCACGACAGCAAAGGACAAACAACTGACTCGCTATTGAGCAGTTGCCCGAGTCGTCACTGTATCGAATCGCAACAGCTATAGTAAAACGGTTATTACCGTATTCTCCGGGATAAAACACCCTAGGGTATTTTGAAAACCACTGGAAAAAAATGGGGGGGGTCTCTTCAAAGGAAAATCCTATATAATACCCGAGTCTTATGATATGGTATATTTTTCATAAAACATAAAAGATGTGAAACAAAATCAGGGGTCTGACTTCACTTCAAGATAGTTGATCAATGCCGCAAAACCGAGTACGAGGATATTGTGGGCCACTTGGGCCACTTCACCACTTGGACCACTTGCAGTGGAAGATTCGCCTGCGTGGCGACAGCGAGTTTTGGGATTCACCAGCGTGGCGACAGCGAGATTGTGGGAAGGGGGATATCTCGGCTGATTCTAAGTGAAAGTACATGCGAAATTTCTTCTATGGAGTGATTTTCGCGATATCCTCCCGTAAGGAATCGGACTCGATAACAGCTATAATAGGAATCTATAAGAAAAGGGGGGTGTTATAGAGAATCAACCCAAAAAGAGGGGTATAGTTCTAACGGGGTCGGATATAACACCCACCCCGTATAAGCTACCCGGGGGTGTACAATTACGGGAGGGTGTTTTATCCGGGAGAATACAGTAACTGTATCTCTTCATATTCCCTTGTACTCTTATAAAAGATTGTATCTCTTTGTTTTATTAATATACTTTGCCCTCACATACCAGCGCAAGGTGGTTCACAACCTTTCATTAAACGCTTCCGCTATTACATCAGTCTACAAGGAATTTAGGGTAGGGTACATTCCGCTGTGGACACATGTCCCAATCGATGTGTCCCAATCGTTTCTACCGCACTGCGTCGTATTACACCAAATTGCACCCTAGTTTCGAAATTTTCGCGTTTCTGGTTTAGTTCGGTTCGGAGCGGTACACTCGATTGGGACACATCGATTGGGACATGTGTCCACAGCGGAATGTACCCTTAGTCCTGCAAAGATCCAAGGGCTTTTTCTCAGCCCAACAGAAATGAGTCGATTTTTTAGTCGACTCAAAAATCGACTTACAGTATCACACGCGACTTCATGCGTCAGCCGTTGTCCCTGTCCACATTTCCCTGGTCTGAGTTTCCTGCTTGCACTGGTGGAGGGGAGGCACCCCATGCATGCTGCTGTTGCGTATGTGGTAATGCTTTCAGCACATGCATCATACATTCTGCTTATTTATAGTATTTACCGCATTCCACTCATTCAACTGTAATCACACTCAATTGAAAACAGCTTTCCATTGCTATCATCTGCATCTCTTTCCACGAAGTGTCCCCCCAATAAGTTGTCTCCAGCTACAGAACAAGGCCCTTCCAAAGAAGGGCAATGAGCCTAAAATAACAATAGGTAACTACCGTAAGCACACTGCTGGTGCTGATCCCAACAGACAGACCCTCATGATCCCAGTCTCTAACAACTGCTGCTCATCCCGGTCAATATCAACTGCTGCTTATCGCAATCCCAACTGCCGCTGCTGTTCCTGTCTGCCCTTATGCCTAACAGCTTTCCCCCTGCTCCTAACCCATGCCTGGACTCAGGAAAGTTCCTCTTCTGCGTAAATAAGTGCAGACCCCACCCCAACCATGAACCTTAAACTTTTCAAACTTCCACCGCAGAGCAGAAAGAGATGGATCGCTTATCGCCGAGGACGGGGGGAGCGGCTCCGCTCCCTCTCCTTCCCCCCATCCCCTTTCACCGCACGCCTCTCAGGAGACTGCATCCGCCTTGCCCCTTCCTCCCTCCTCTCCCCGCCACCCTCCGCCCTACCATTGCCCTCTCTACCCCCTCCCATCGCCTCTCCACCTTTCCCTCTCTCCCTCTCCCTGTCACGGTCCCGCTCCCGATCCCTCTCCCGCTCATCCTCCGACCCTCTCTCGCGCCGCTCCCTTCCCTCCCTCCCCTCCTGCCCCCTGTCCCGCTCCCCCAGCTTCTCCCTCCCCCGCTCCCTCCCCTTCCGCCTCTCCCTCTCCTTCATAATCTCCCTCTCTCGCGCCCTCTCCAGTGCCCGATCCTTCTCCAGATCCCAGTCCCTGCCACCCGGCCTCACATCATCCCTCCCTCTCAGACCCAGCATCATCCCATGCCCCCCATGTCCCCCACGCCCCCCATGCCCCCCATGCCCCATACCACCACCCATGGCATCCCAAGCTGCCCCTCGGCCCATCATTCTCTCCCTCCCGCCCATCCACTCCCTCCCCCGCCCATGAATCTCCATCCCATACCCCCCCTCCGGACCCAAATACTCCTCCCGCGCACTCCCCCCTCTCCTGCCCCCATCGTACCCCCCTCCGCCGCCCCTCCCCTCCAGCATCCCACCATCGCCAGATCTCGGCTGTTCATCATACTCCCCCCGGCGGCCACCCCCCCTACCGCTCTCCCCACCATACTCCCTGCCGCTGCCACTCCTATCATACTCCCTGCCGCCACCACCACCACCACCCCCAGCACCACCGCCAGGCAGGAAACCCCCATCCCTACCGCCTCCTCTCCCCGAGTGTCCCCCCGGGAACCCATGCCCGTCCAGAATGCCAAACCCTGGCCCGTCGCCTGCGCCTCTCATGGGTCCCAAGGGATGGAGAGGGATTGGAGGCGGTCCAATGCGGTGGATGGGGAGGTCGGGCGCGAAGGGCATGGGGACTATGGGCGGCTGCTCGCGGCGAGGCATGCCGCATTGGTGGCAGCGGACTCGGCGGGCGAAGTTGAGATTGCCGCACCTGCACGAGGCGGCGGAGGAGGAGCCAGGAGGAACGGCAGAACGAGCGGCAGGAGGAGCACGAGGAGGAGAAAACCCAGGAGGAAAACCGTGAGTTAAGTCAGGAAAAATCCCAGGAGAATGGGCGGCACAAGTCATGCTCCTTGACCTACTATGTGTTGACCAACGTGGCACCATCAACCAAAGAATAACACAGCTTCAGTATTTACGAGATTCAGCCGGCCTGTCCGACTTCTCCAGGCAAACCCTGCTGGCTGAAGAGTCAAATTATGCACACCGTGTTCCCTTATCTGCGTATCAATCCCCGGAGACCTGAGAAAAGAACCTGAACGGAAACCTGCAGCGCGAAATTCGGCTCCTGGGTTTCGCAGCGCAGGTACCAGATTTTGGTTTTCTCCAACCCACCACCCACCTGTCAATCCCTCCTGCTGCTGCCCAGCTTCCCTGTTAGGACCTCCCCCTCCCACAAGAGAAACACACGAAGCACCCATCAAACCAGCTGCACTGTCCACCAAACAGACCAGCTGCGTTCCTAACCCACCTGCTTCCGCTGCAGTCACCCACCTCCGCTGCGAAAAGATCAGCTAACGAAGAACCGGCTGCAAAAAACCAGCTGCGAAAGGTTCGGCTACAAAACAAACAGCTGAAAATATCAGCTGCAAAAAACCACACAGCTGCCGAGCAAGAACCTGAGATCATCCAAAGCTTATCGCAGGTCATCCAGACCTAACCCCTCGGTTACCCTCATCGACTTGTAACCCTCGTTCACCTGTAACCCTTATCTACCTGTGACTTTCCTGCGTCAAAAGGCTCTAGACGTACGTTCCTTTCCGCCTTCCCCGATACCCCGCCTCATCTCTTACATGGGTTCGACGCAGATCCAGTCTCCCTCGCGCGGCTGCACGTTCGGGTTCCCGCGGGGGCCCATGAACCCTCCGCCCATGCCCATGCGCGCGCCGAAATGCGCGGCCGCTACGTGCGCCCCCGGCGGAAGCCCCGCGAGCCCCATGCCCGCAGCGACCAGCTCCTCCATCCGCTGCTGCTCCGCGAATCCCTCCATCTCCCCCCGCCGCTGCTCCATCTCCCGCATTCCCCCGATCGGTCCTCCGCGCGGCGATCCTCTGCCATACAGATCCCTTCCCCCGTCCCTCCCCGCATCTCTCCCCCCATCCCTTCCGGCGCCTCTCCCCCCATCCCTTCCGCCGTCTCTCCCCGGATCCCTCCCCCCATCCCGCGCATCTTCCCGTGATGAGTAACGGTCGGGAGAGTCCAACCGCCTAGGTCTTCCTGATCCGCTTCCGCGCGTCCCCCCTGCGCCCGCTGGTGATGACACAACGGCATTCAACGGCGGAGATGCCATCCGATCAAGATCGCTGCTTCCACGCCCGCCGTAGCCGTCACCTGCCCCTCTATTCATCCCCGCGGCACCACTCACACCTCCGCTACCACTCATTCCGCCAACGCCAACCATTCCGCCGCTCCCACCCATTCCGCCACTCCCACCCATTCCGCCACCTCCGCCCGCCTCATCGTCGCCCGCTCCGCGGACGGCGAGCAGCGTTCCGCCAGTTGACAGCTCCCGCCGCTGCAGCCCCATGTCGTGCCGCAACTGCTGCAGCCCTCCCACATCGGAATCTTCTCCGAAGCTGCTCCTGCGACTCGCGTCCAACGCGCTCCCTGCGTTCCTGCGGCTGTTCCCGTACCCATCTGCCACGTCATCTCCCCGAGAAGAACCATAACCCAGCCTGTTCGGAAGAGGTCCTCCGAGGCGATCCGAGCCCGACGACCCTAGGCGATCCGCTGCCGGACCTCCGAGGCGATCTGATACCGAGCCTCCAAGGCGGTCTGGTACCGAACCTCCTAAGCGATCTGTAACCGGACCTCTCACGCGGTCCGGTACCGGGCCTCCAATGGGGGACCCTGAAACCAAGCCTGCCGGTCTCCCAAGCCGGTCCAAAACGGAACCACCCGGCCGATCAGTCATAGGACCACCAAGCCGCTCTGTAACAGGTAACCCTAGACGATCTGCGACTGGTAACCCGAGTCGATCTGAAAGCGGCATACCGGGACGATCAGAGAACCCGCTGAGTCGTTCGGGAGCGGAGGAAGCCAGGCGGTCGGCTGCTGCTATCGGGATATCAGGCTTGAACGCGGAGGTGAAGTTTGGCGGAGGATCCAAGGTAACCTTCATGCGAAGGCCTTGGAAGACATACCCTACAGCACGCAATGGTAAAAAAAAAAGCGTATTAGACTACCGCGTCTTTTCTGGAAGAAAAATGCAACCAGTAAGAGTCGATCAGGCTTCCATGACTTCTGTATAAGCTAGAAACGGTACGGAGAAAAATGCCAAACTACGTAAGAACATCAGACAAAAACAAAGAGATTAAAAAAAAAAAAAAAAAACGTCACGCACCGTCGAACCACTTCACGACATGCTGGTCTGAACCCGGCTTCTGAAGCCACACTTCCGCCACCACACCGTTCCTTCCGTTAAAATGTAGCTTTGTCTTCAGTCCTCGAGTCTCAGGATCCATCTACAAGCATGGACAGATGCCGAACGAAAAAAAATATATATATACAATCAGGAAAAAAGGGAAGTAGAAAAAGAGAAGACAATGGCTGGAGGAAAAAATAGTGAATCTCCGAGAATAATTCAGCGGCAAATGCACCTGAATTTCAGCAACCTCTCCGATTAGAGAGGCTATGTCTCGTTCCCTGACGTCGTTCGGAAGGTTCGATATCCACACCATGGAATCAATAGCTCCTTGCGGCTCCTTACCTGTTTATCACAACAGTAACCAATTTACATTCAGAAGCATAAAAAAAGCAGGAAATGAGAGAAAATAATACAAGAGGTACCGCGGAAAAATCACCTACCATGATCGAAATCAATCGCCGGACGACCGAAAGGATCGGTAAGATAAGCCGACGTCCTCGCCTCAATCCTTAGTGATTCTTCCTCGCCTTTCCTCGTCGGCCATATTCTCCGTTCCTCCGTTCCCAGATCCACAAACTCGTGCCTCCGGTCAGCCATACCTGACCGGCCGTACCTATCGTCCATCATACGGCCAACCCAGATAAAAGGCCGTACGAAAGCACGTCTAGCAACAAATCAACTAAAGCTGCCACTCCACAGCCATATCAACCATGGCTAGCCATCAACACAGATCCATCTTTTGTGGTTGTGGTTGCCTGAACGCACATTGGTCTGCTCTGTGGATAAACCTGAGATGGTCGCACCAACAGTTGGTGAAGTACCACAGTTTCGGTGCACTGCGTTCCAGTGCGGTAGTTTGCGAATTACCGAGTAGAAACCTACCGAACCATACTGGAAGCCAGGGGACACTAGGTTTGTGGAAACCCTTGTGGCTGGTTGGGCGACCGTGACGAAACCAGTAACGACGGGCACTTCGTTGGCGAGGAGGACCTCATTTCCAACCGTGTCAGTTCTCTGGCCTGAGGTCTGTCATTCATGTACAGTACCTATGTAGTGTACACATACACAGACCTTGTAAAAAACAGAAAGAACCCATACTGCCCTGCTGTTGTTCCCATCAATACTTTACAGGCTGCAATGCAAGCCTCCTCCGTCCTGAGCCCCATGCTTCCCTTCGCGGTCATGTGCAAGAAGGGAATAAGGTTAAGGTCATATTAAGGTCGTAACCATGTACAGCAAAGCATAGAGCATGTGCAAGCAGGGAGCAAATGCCCACCCCTGAAAGCCGTGGCTCTTTAAAGCCCAAGACCTGAATTACAAAAAAAGGAAGGCAAACTGTGCACAGTTTGCCTACCGAACCCACAGTTGACCTCCCGAGCCAGGCTGGTTACCAGAAAACATTGCGCCAAGAAACACAGAGTCGTAGAGCATAACAGGTTTGGTTAGCAAGAGTCCCAACCACACCCTTCTGGAGGAACAGGGGCTCAAAATGTGCACAGTTTGCCCTTCTTCGGTAATTCGGGTCGTGTGATTTCCATAGTACGCGAAGCGATTGGAGTATGCGAAGAGATAGAATAAAACGCCACTACAGCATAGGCCATGAGCATTTTCACTTTTTTTCCTAGCTCTTTCCCAAACATCGCATTTGGACCTATCGCCTTCCGCGTCCCCCACGCTTCTCCCCCCCGTCTCTCACACACCTCCCCACGCACACGCCCACTCTTCCCACCGTCGCCAAAGCTTTCCCCCACCGTCGCTCACGCTTCCCCTTATCGCCGCCCACGCTTCCTCCGACCTTCCCCCACACCGTCGCTCACGCCTTTCCCCACCTTCCCTCACGTTTCCCCTCTCATCGCCCACGATTCCTCCCACCGTCGCCCACGCTTCGGAGCACCGTCACCCACGCTTTCCCCACCGTCGCCCGCGCTTCCCCCCACCGTCGCCCACGCTTCCCCCCACCGTCACCCACGCTTCCCCCTACCGTCGCCCACGCTTCCCTCCACCGTCGCCCACGCTTCCCCCCACCGTCGCCCCCGCTTCCCCCCACCATCGCCCACGCTTCCCCCTGTTGGGCTGAACGCCCTAAGATCTTTAGTAGAGTTAAAGTCTGAGTAAATGATGTAGTAGCGGAAGCGTTTGAATACAGTCCTTGAACCACCTTGCGCTAGTATGTGAGGGCAAAGTAAGTTAATTAAACCAAAGAGATACAGGAATATATATATGAGTACAGAGAATATGAAGAGACATAATTGTAACTGTTTTACTGTTGCGGTTCGATACAGTGCGACTCGGGCAACTGCTCAATGTCGAGTCAGTTGTGTGTCCTTGCTGTCGCGCTGCGTCAGGTCAAAGGTCGCTGACCTTTTGACTTTCTTGTAGCCTCCAGCGGTTACGTTAATCTCCGAGGGTTGACTCGCGGTGCTTCGATTTGAGCTGCTTCGCTTCTGTCTTGAGTTTCGACACGACAGAGGTGCTTAAGACTATTTGTTCCCAACACTCCCCTTCGCTTCTGGAGTGTCGCTGATGGTGATGTGGCTTTGTCCAGTCAGCAGCATGCAGTACTCGAACTTCTGTTTTCCGAGCTTCTTGGTCAAGTAGTTGTGAAACAGGTAAACAGGAATGAAATGACTAAGGAAAGATTGGGTACAAATACAACCCTAGAAACCCTGTACCCCATATGTGCTACCCCACTATAGCCTACAGAAACTATGTCATATAAATCTGACACACCCCCATAGGCAAAGTGGGGGAGAACAAGGGGTCACAAGACCAGTCAAGTAAAGCAAAGCAGAGCAAGCTCAGGGTGGATCACAACGTCACCACACAGTCCGAGCACAAGAGCAGGGCCAGAGGCCAGTTCACATGCAAGAGTACAGACATATATATATAAAACTAGACAAGCAAGAGCAGGTATATATATGTCACAGTACAAGTAAAGTCAAGAGGAGAGCAAGTGAGGCAAGACAGGCACAAGACCCAGCTGGGTGCAGAGGCGCTGATGGTCACAAGGCGCGAGTGCCTTGGTGAACACATCAGCAGTGTTGGCCTCAGAGGCCACGTACGCAAGCCGCAACTGTCCACGCTGCTGCAGCTCACGAGCAAGGAAGTAGCGAAGAGCAATGTGCTTCGTTCTGTGCTCCAGACGCTGCTCTCGACACAAGGCCAGCATGGCCTTGTTGTCTACATACAGCACTGGAGGAGAACGAGGCGGCTCTCCAAGGTCAGTCAGCAGGTAGGTGAGCCAGCGAAGCTCCTGTGCAGCCATGGTCCCAGCGTAGATCTCAGCCTCACAACTGGAGCTGAGAACCGAAGACGAGCGAGTAGCCCGCCACGAGACAGAGCCGGAACCAAGACTGAAGGTGTAACCCTGTGACGACCGCTGTGTAGCCTGGTCGTCAGCCCAAGAAGCGTCCGCGTGCCCTGTAAGGACCACTGGACTCCGCCCTCCAAGCACTAGCCCCATGCTCGACGTACTGCACAAGTAGCGCAACACCCTCTTCGCTGCAGCCATGTGCTCTGGTCGGTGTCTCCCAGGAGCAACATAGCGTGCAAGAATGCTCAGAGGGTATGCAAGGTCAGGTCGTGTGCAGGTCATCAGGTACATGAGGCAGCCAACAAGCTCTGGGTACGGGCCACTCGACTCTACGGACTCATCCGAAGGCAGAGCTGAGAGCGAGTGGCGAGTAGACAGAGGAGTGGCCTGAGGCGAGGAGTACGTGAAGCCGAAGCGCTGAAGGACCTGCTGCACCATGTGTGACTGAGTCAAGGTAATGGTGCGGCGTGCTCTGTCCCGAGTGATCTGCAAGCCAAGGTTAGCTGCGCAGTTCACCCAAGTCTGTGCACGTGTGTCTCTTCAGCAGCTCGGACTTCACGTAGGCGAGTCCAGCAGTGTCCGCTGTGGCAAAGACCAAGTCGTCGACGTACACGAGGATGTAGAACGGCGGCAGAGGAAGGTGTCGGTGCGAAGAAACAGCGACGGGTCAGCAGTAGAAGGAGCAAACCCAAGAGCCGCAAGCGTAGTCCTCAGTGTGTCGTGCCACTCACGCGGTGCCTGGCGGAGACCGTAGACTGGCCGTCGGAGGCTCCACTGGGTGCCAGGAGGGAAAGTCCCAGTGAAGCCAGGTGGACGGCGAAGCCAGATCTCCTCGTGCAGGCTACCCTGCAAGGAACGCAGTGCTGAAGTCGAGAGAGTGAAGCTCGTAGTCGCGCTGAGCGGCTATGTGCAGCAGCACCCGAAGAGTAGGTCATCTTCGGGGTGGGAGAGAAGGTCTGAAAGTAGTCAACTCCCTGCCGCTGACTGAAGCCACGAGCAACGTACCGCTGCCTTGAAGAGAGGTGGAGAGCCCGGCGGCCGCTTCACCCTGAAGATCCACATGCCACTGACGATGTTCGCCCCAGGAGGGGGAACTGCGTCAACGTAGGTGCCTGTGGACTTCCAGGAAGCCATCTCTGCATCCATAGCTGCCTGCCACTGAGACGAGTAGGGACCCTCTACGGCCTCCGCGTAAGAGCGCGGAGTCGGGATGTCTAGTGCATCCGGGTCTCCCTCAAGAGCAAGCAGTACAGACGCAAGATGAGGTGAAGCAGCAGCAAGAAACTGTAACTCCTCCTGCCTGTCCTCTAGGACGTCCGTGCCAAGAGCACACTCACCCCCGACGGACGGAGGACAGACAGACGCAGACTCAGCAACAAGACTAGCAGCGTAGTCTAGACGACAGCGAGCAGCAAAGTCGACGAGCTCAGCGACAAGAGCAGACGCAGCAGTGGACTCAAAAGAGGGGTCAGTGACGACAGTAGCAAGCAGACGCGTGACAGTAGGAGTGGCAGCACGAAGAGAGTCCGACTCAGGGTCGGCAAGCGCAGGAAGAGAGGACTCAGGAGGAGAAGGCAAAGGGGCACGCAGAGGAGCAATGGACGGACGCAGAGACATCCGGTGCGTGCCAGGGACAGGAGGAGGACGCTGACGCGAACCGCGACCACTAGTGCGAGCAGCACGAACAGGCGACGCAGGACGAGACGCAGGCTCACGACGCTCAGCAAGACCTCCAGTAGGACCAGTGTAAGGAGACGGAGCAGGCAGTGGAGAGGAAGGCTCCAACAGTGATTGTGACTGGACAGGCTGTGAACACTCTACCGGAGGAGAAAGACCAAGAACCTGCTGCAGGAGCGGAACGAAGTACGGTCGAGGCCGCGCGGCAGCTCCAGACTCAGCAGGGACAGCACCAGCACCCTCAGCGACAGCACCAGCGCCACCAACACCTCCAGCGGCAGGACCTCCAGCAGCACCAGCAGCAGAACCACCGCCGGGACAGACAGCAGTAGTCTCAGCAACAACACCCTCAGGAGCTCCTGCTCCAGGAGTACCCGCAGGCCCAGCAGCTCCGAGACCGGCAACACCAGCACCCTCGACGGTCGAAGAAGCTCCAGCTCTAGCAGCACGCCTCCAGCGGCGAGCAAACCACTCGCGCAGCTCCTGTGGAGAGAGGGGCTCCCGGCGAGACGCAGCAGCAGGAGAAACCCCAGGCTCAGCAGCTCCAGACGTAGCACCCCCAGGCTCAGCAGCTCCAGACTCAGTACCCCCAGGCTCAGCAGCTCCCGACCCAGCACCCCCAGACCCAGCACCC